CTGAGTAGCCAAGATTACGGGTGTGATCCACTGGTACCCACTTACAAGTCAATTTTAGGAAGCATTTGAACTCTAACCGCTTAAGGGCTCTAAGACAAAAATGAGTCTAAGATGTTTATTTGTAATTTCTGTCTCTGCCAGTTTTGTTTGCTTCTGTAATGATGTAAATGAATTAAGTACTCCAGAGATAGATGAAAAAAATGAATGCAAAAATTAAAGTGTGCTGTTTCTATTAGACTATATCAATTTCTTATTCCCTGTTGTGACAAGATCCCCCACAAGCATGGTGGCTGAAAATACCACAAATTTCTCTCCTTTCTTCCCATTTAGTCAATAAATACCCACTGGGTACCATTTATGTGCTCGGTTCTCTGTTTCAGGTTCTGAACGTTCAAGGGCAAATAACAGGATGGATGAACTTGCTGGCAGAGAGCTTGTCTGCTGCTTACTATTTTCAAATGAGAATACTGAAGGTTTCCATCCGTGGAACGGGGTGGGGGGGTTCTGATTCTTGGGCATTTGTTACAGTCAGCTTGAAACATGCGTGCTTTCAATCAAACCCTCGGGAGGAATCTGAGCATCATTTATCTTCATGATTTCTCTATTGTCTATCATGATCACATCTGTGTGGCGGGAGAGGAGGGAGGTTGGGAGGGAGGAAGGAAAGGTGGCAGGAGGAAAAAAGTCAGTCAAGACTTTGGAAAGCAGATGCCTGTCTTGCCAGAAGTGGAACACCCATTCATCTCTCTACTCCTTACATTCAGAGTTTAAAAAATGAAAGGAAACTTTTATGTTACGTGTGTGAACGTTGTGACCACCCAGGCCTGCCTTTCCATGTTAGAACATCACTCAACATAGGAGAGACAAGGTAGGGAGGGGAGAGATATTGAGTGGACCCAGGACCCATTCCCTCCCCCGGTCTGTAAGTGTTGAAGGGGTTGGAATAAGTTCCTGTTCAAATTGTGAAATCAAACGAGGTGGGCTATAATTTAAATATGTCCCTAAAACATCTGTAAGTAAAGGCTCGGTGCCCTGGCGATACTGAGAGTTGCTATAGACCTTTAAAAGGTGGAGCTACTGGGAGGCCCTCAGATGATTGGCAGGTTGCTCTCCAAAGGGATGGTGGGAGCTGAGTCTCCCCACTGTCTGTCTCTGGCTGACAACGACCATTTTCTCTGACACATGCTTCCACCTTTGACATCCTTTCCAAAGTCCAGGGCCTGGGGCCCCAGGACTGGAGCCTCCCAAACTCTGAGCTAAATCATGGACCGTTTCCTCTTCGTCATTTTGTTGCAGTCACGTGATGCCAGCTGATTCAGAGAGTGTGAGAGAAACGAATTGCTTCCAAAACTGTTCCACGAAGCACGCCATGCCCGCGACATCGGCTCAGCACACGCGTCTTCCTTTACAGTTGTCTGTTAGGCTGAAGTCCAACATGGGGTCTCCATGGGTTAACATCAGGGTGTTGGCGTGGACTCGTTCCTTGTGGAAGGGCTGGTTCCCTGTCTTTTCCAGATCTTTCCTCAGCTTGTGGCCACTCCTTCCCTCTTCAAAGCCAGAAACACGCCTCCTCTTCCGATTTACGTCCAGGGTTGTGTCTCCTCCTCTCACCTCGTCTCCTCCTCCTCTCAGGGCTTTGCCCTGGCCGGGCAGGCGTCTCCCGCGTGAGCCCCTCCAGCCTTCATGATGAGCACTTTCCAGGGCTCGCTAGGTGCCGAACACGATGCTGACGTATAAAATCCTGACAAGATATCTATGAGGGCACATGTGTTTTTATAAATACAAAAACTGGTGTCAGCTCACTTTGTCACTGTGACAAGTACCTTGGAAAATCAGCCTGCGTGAGGGAGGCCTTATTTTGGCTTACAGTTTCAGGAGTGTGAGTTCATGGTCATCTGGCTGTGTCGTTTCTGGGCCAGTGATGAAGCAGGGCATCATAGAGGGAGTGTGAGGGAGGGGGAAAGAGAGACAGACAGACAGACAGACAGACAGATACTGTAGACTGCAAGGGGCCAGAGACAAGATTCATTCTTCAGACTCAAGTGCCCAGTGACTGACTTCCTACATCTAGTCTGTTATGGGGAGAAGAGTCCACCACTCAGAGACAGCCTCATGTAAAAAGGTGACTTTATTGGGGAAGTGGAGAGCTGACCGGCCAGGGACGCAGCACAGACTTGGGAGCTGAAACTGTGACCCCGAGCGGCCCACAAGCTAGGGTTTTTAAAGGCAAAATCCATGCGGTCAAGCCTGGCCACACGCACAGGTGGCCAACGGGATGGTAACACACACATAAAGATTGTATGTTTATGTCCGTGGCCGATGGGGTTACAGTCCGTCTCCTAGGAACTGTTTGAACTAACCTATCATTTTGGTGTGAATTGGAGCATGAATTCGGGGTCCCCACACAAAGCAGGTGGATTTTCTTACACGTGGGGGGTTGTACATTCCAGAAATGTAATGTCACATGCCCCTGCATCCTTGAAGCTGGGGCTGTTACAAAGACAGCTACAGGAGATGTATTACAGAGATAGCTACAGGAGG